TTTATCAAGTGTTACATTTCGACCACGTAGAGAATCAGCCTTTCATCATGAGATCATTGGATTGATCTTCAAAACGCACAGAGATGTTCGATATAAACTAGAGCGGGATATTTTGGACGACCGTATAGATCCTGAGAATGGCTATACAATATACTTGTGATTTGGCAAGAGTATAAATAAGCAAAGCAATATATTAGCTAATGGAAAAAGCGGCAAGCAAACTCACAACTGTTTCCAATCATATTTGAGGCAATTCAAAAGTAGTGGCAGTATACTTCTATTCCTTATTAAAAGCTTAACGAGACTTTCTCTGTGTGTAGTCTGGTAGAGAAAAGAATGCTCTATTTTTCTATGATATTTGATCATACCTCAACTAATATCATAATAATAAAATTTCGATAAGACCTGTTTTATTCGCATGTGTCACGGTTACATGATTTGCTAGTCAGTGTTTTTTGAATAACTTTTGATGGATACATCGTAGAGAAGTGCGGTTTTCACCGTTGGAAGAAGGAGGTGAAGATGCATCAAATCCGATGTTATATATTTTTCTAGTATTGACTTCTGAAGTATTTTGATTCAATAATCCTAACTGGCACAAAAATGTTTTTTTTTTTTTTTTATGAAAAAAAAAGAAAAAGCACAAAAAGTGAGCTTCTTTTTACAGAGTTTCCTACAAAATCGTATTAGAGGCTCGTCTACAATTCGTATTATTCATCTCAACCTTTCGCACTCTGTAAATCTTCGATTAGTGGTTTGAATTTAAACTTGATAATTGAAAATTCATTGTAAACAACTCACTAGATAGATTTGTTCTTAAAAAGGTCGATTGAAAACTTTACAAAACAACAGATCAGGATACCTTGGAATATAAGATTCAATGTGTCGTCATCTCCTCTTTCGAATAGTGAAAACTACAGTTCTCTATCTTGTTTTTATCAAAAGTTATTTGAAAAATACTCATTCGTACTTTTTAAAATGAGTATTATTATAACCAGCACATAAGATTACCACACAGAATCTTATCGAAATTTTATTATTATGATATTAGTTGAAGTATGATCGAATAGCATAGAAAAAAAAGCATTCTTTTCTCTCTCAGATTATGTAGAGAAAAAATTTCTTTAAGCTTGTTATAAGCAATAGAAGTGCCACTGCCACTACTTTTGGATTGCTCTAAGTAATTTGTTGGCTTGATTGGTTTCAAACATTCATCGTCTGTATATTTGTGATTACAGTAATTTTTATTTAATATAACTTTGCATCACATAGGTCTTCTCTTCATGCGTGTTCACTCTATCTAAAACATTTTTGATTTCAATAAATATAAACAATTTGAAATACTTGAACAAGTAAATTCAATTTTAGTTAAAACTAAATATCTTTATTTCAAAAGATTCACGAAGATTTTAAATCCATAAGATTATCAAACAAATCAGTTTCGTGCATTTCTAATAGTGTTTAATGATTTACCATATGAATAAATTTATGCTTAGAAAATAATATTGATAAATACGATACTGTCGGATTGAGAGATTTATATCAGTGGACTTAACATAGTACAATTGAAAGAGATTCAACACTTTGAATATAAAACTCAAATAAAGTTATGTTTATGTT